TTACCACATTTCTCCAGCCACTTCCAGCCTAATGTTCCCCATCCCTATTTTAATTTGATGGAGGAAGGCTGGGGGGCATGTGAAACCATGCAAATTCAAGAGGGTCTCTTTATTCTACTGAATCCAGCTTCTATCCAGACCCCGGGGGAGGGGGAAACAATTGACTGGGAGGGGGTGGCCATGACACTTTCTCAAAATTCCAAATGTGCCTTTGGTCCTAAAAAGTTGCCCACTGTACAGCATTCAGCTCTATGCTGGTTGTCAGTGCCAGAGCAAGGGAGGTGACAGTGGACCAAACACTTGTTATGGTCGTAAATTGTGCTTCAAAAGGGCATACCATCTCAGTCAGAGATACAACCATGTAAGTGGCAATCTTGTCTAAGCCTGCAGTCCTGTGCACACCTACCAGGGAGTAAGTCCCATTGGACTCAGGTGGACCTAGATACGTATAGGGTTGCACTCATAAGAGCCAACTCCCAAGGGCCAAGGTCCCTTCGGTCCCCCAATAAAAACACTTGAGGGGTTGGGGGGCCCCCCAAAGTTGATGGGCATTGCCATTCAAATGGTATGTGTGTGCCTTGTGATCAATTATGTGGGGTGGGGCTTACCTGACCACACAACCCCCATATTTTATTCAAGTTGGCAACCCCGGTTGCATTGCAAGTTAATGAATTGAGATTTGACTTCTATGACTAAATAAAAATAAACAAAGAGGTTTGTCTCGCTTTAGGAAGAAGTGAGGCTCAATGGGCATCTGGACAAGATAAGAGTACTGTATTGGAATGCTAGTTTAATCTTTCCCCAATGAAATAACCATTCACTTAATCAGGACGGAAGCAGGATGAAAACGTTCCACTCAGCAGATAAATCCACCAGCTCCCTTATCCTATCTCCACCACTGCAAATGCATTTAGTTGTCATCTGGTATTTCTGTTTTCATTCTAATTCTTTCTGCCTTGTTATTCTGTCAGTTTCTTAATCTGTTTACACTGACTTTATTTTTAGTATGTCTATTGTGACAGTAAATCCTAGAATTGCCTTCGGTGTTGTCTGAAAATGGCCATTATCAAATCATAATGCCTAGCCAGATGAAGTCCTGTAAGGGCCCTAGGCAATCACTAGGCATCCTCAACAGCTGCCTGCATTTGAGTCCTGCATATCAATTCTCACCTTGGAGGGGGCCCTGCAGTATTATCAGGAGTGGAGGAGGAGGTAAGTGTATTTATTAAAATTTGGATTACAGCTCGGCAAAGTGCTCCTTACTTTATTTATGAAAGCTTTTTAGTCTGCACATTAATAAAGCCGCTATCTCAATCTTTTATTGGTAAACTATGTAAAATGCAAATGATCTGGAATCCAATTAATTTCTAGAAGGTTGCAGCTGTTTTGAGTCCTATTCACAAAGACATGTGTGTGGATGTGGTTGAATGTGCCTGTGTTTGATTGCTAAGAAAATCAGGCTTTATTATTGAAGCCCCGACTTTCAAAATTTGAACTATTGTTCATCAGTAGTGCTAAATGCAAACAGATAATATCCAAACTGCATTGCTTGTTATTAAAAAGGCTGTGAAATGTGGCTAATTTAGGACCAAGGCAAAGTATAGGAATTGCAAAAGAGTTGTTTCAAAATTTGTTAATTTGAGCAAAGCCAAAGTTTGATTTATGGTCTTCAGCGATGTATTATGAGATTTGCTAGTGCACTAGTGCACACATTTGCATAAACAAGTATCTTACATCACAATAATGTCAATTCTGGAGACTTAGCAATACTACTCTTGAGATTGTACTGTACACAGTTTCACTTTGAAAGAATTACATTGGCTTTGATAAACTAGCTTAATTTGAGGATTTAGCATGGGCCAGAATTAGTCCGCTTGCTCCAAAGATTCAGCAATAACCACACTGTTACCACAATTCTAATACTTATTTATAGATGAATAGAGGTTTAAAGGTGTTAGTATGCCAATATAAAATGGTTTATGAGCAACAAAATGGCTTTAAATACGATTGATTGATTGATTGATTGATTGATTGATTGCATTTCTATCTCACCTCTCTTCCAATTGAACTCAAGGTTGCATACATTGTTCTTTTTCTCCCTGTTTTATCTTCACAACAACCCTGTAAGATAGGTTAGGATATGAGACTGTGATTGACAAAGTCACCCAGTGAGTTTTGTGGTTGAACCCTGATCTCCTAAGTCCTAGTCCAACAGTTTAACCACAACATCACACAGGCTCACTTAATAGTAGAGGGGGTAATTACACCACAGCAGTAGGCAGGTCACTAAATATAAATGAAAAAAATGAATATTCCCACAATTAAAAGGCTGAATACTTCTGTTCTGAGGGAGCGGGTGACGCTGTGGTCTAAACCACTGAGCCTCTTGGGCTTGCTGATCAGAAAGTTGGTGGTTCAAATCTGCACAATGGAGTGAGCTCCTGTTGCTCTGTCCCAGCTTCTGCCAACCTAGCAGTTTGAAAGCACACCAGTGCAAGTAGATAAATAGGTACCGCTGCAGCTGAAAGATAAACTACGTTTCCACACGCTCTGGCTTCAGTCACTGTGTCCCTTTGTGCCAGAAGTGGTTTAGTTAGGCTGGCCACATGATCCGGAAAGCTGTCTGTGGATAAATGCTGGCTCCCTCGGCCTGAAGCGAGATGAATGCCGCAACCTCATAGTCGCCTTTGACTGGACTTAACAGTCCAGGGGTCCTTTACTTTTTTTTACCTTTACTTCTGTTCTTTCGAGTCACTATTTTTGGCTCAAAAATCAAAATAGGAGAATATTCAGCATTGCCTTAGCTGTGGAACACAGTTACATTTGCTAGAGGTAATAAAACTTCCCAAGTGCAAATTCAGAGGAATGTTATGAAGAATAAGATGTTGACAAGGATGAGGGGCTCAACTTTTGTATTAACTGGAGCCATTTAAATATCCTATAGATGAAATTTGATGAGCTTATGAGTATTTAGGAGGATTTAATGGACTCAAACCTCCCTTTCTCTCCCTCCTCCCGAAAGCTTCTGTTCTTAAGCCCATTTCTTATTTCATATTTTGGAGGGTTTCAAAGCAGCTAGATTAATTTTGCGCTTCAAAACAATTGTGTTAAAATGCTTAGGAAAAAGAGATTACTTTAAATCATTGCACTAAAACCTGATGAATATTATGCAATATAGCTGATATTTACTATAGAAAGAGGTGTTTATATAGTTATCCCGAAATTCTCTCTCTCTCTCTCTCGGCAGAAATATACATACATATGAGTTATCTCATTTTATCCCCACAGCCACCCTATGAGGTACATTAGACTGAGGGAGTGTAATTGGCCAAGTGAGCTTCATAGAGTTTGGGTGGGAAAACAGATGAAGTACTTCCTTGGGGTAAAAGTAATTGATTTGGGTCTGCAGATAAATCTTGATCCCTAGAGCCCTGCAAGAAAAAAACAAACTCATTCAGTATTTTGCTAAGGCAATTGTTATGTCAGGGTAAGCATTTTGGTTTGCCATATGGATTGATTCATCTGTCTCTTTTCCCCATGCACTGCCAACCCCCCACTCCACCTGAGCCAATTTCAGGAGTTGGGGTGGGGGTGGGAGGAGGAGAAGCCTGTAGCACAAGTGGAAGACCTTGCTCAGCACTTCTGCTGATGGGTACAATTGGCTGAATCCTCCTCGTTTTTGAGAGAGGGACAGGAGAGAAGGAGCAAAAACAACTCTTTCTCGGGAAAACTAAGCCCAAATTCAGTCTTGCCACTGTTATGATGTCATGTTTGGCTCCTCTGAGCTAATGAGCTTCACAATATTCATCAATGGAAAGTAGTAAACACTTGAAGCACAAAAATGTTCTATATTGTGTTTTTAATATTATGTTGGGAGCCACCCAGAGTGGCTGGGGAGGGACGGCCAGATGGGTGCGGTATAAGTAATATATTATTATTATTATTATTTTCTACCCACATCAGGATCTGTTAAATTTATCCAAGGATGCACAATAGTTTTTGGAAGACTTCCATTGACAATGTCATGTGGGCATCACATTTTGAAGGTCATCCATTGCCCAGTGGGCTTAGAGAGTCAAAAATATCTCGTTTTCTGCTGAGCACCATGATTTCCTGTCAGCTTTCTACATCTCTGTAACCCCCCCCCCCCCCCAATATGCATCTAAGAGTATATGTGGATATGAGTGACACTCTGTGGAAAGAATCAGACACTAAGGACATACAATACAAAGAAAAATAGCTGTGCCTAGCATTCAGGTAGCACACTAAAGTCATGTTCATTTGATCAGGTCACAGGAGCACCTGTCATTCTCTAGAATGTGCCACTTTTTGGAGGTCATTTTATTACTGTACATAGGTAGGGGTAGCTAATGTGGTGCCTTCTAGACGTTTTTGGACTCAAGCCTCATCGTCCTTGACCATTGGCCACAGTGGCTGGGGCTGATGGGATTTGTAGTTCAAGTACATCTGGAGGTCACTCCATTGACTTTCTGCTTGATACTATATCTGTATTGTCACGGCTAAAATGACCGCTGTTTCTTTAATGTGAATAAAGCTGGGTCAGCATGACTCAGCGGCTTGCAGCAAGTTGTATATATAAGTGAGAAATGTTAGTTTGTTGCTGAGGCTGGTGTTTGGGTTGGTTAGTGCTGGTGTGTATTTTTATTCAGTCGTGTTTTGCACAAGGACTTTTAAGAATAAAACTCTGCAAGGATATTCTTCTGGACTCTTTTATGCCGACAAGGGTCTGAGGACCAGGCTGAGGAGACAAAGGGAGGTCAGAACCCTTTCCTTCTTTTTTTTTTTTGCTTTTTACAAACACTGACATGTATAAACAAATTAGCTTGATGTCCCTAGTTTGTGTAAACGTGACTTGGGATGGGGAAGGAAAGGAGTAGGAAGGGAAGAAGGCTTGAATCTGTTCCTGTTGAAAATAGAACAGCAACCCAAGAAACAATTGCAGTCATAATAATAACTGCTTATGTGCTTTATTAACAATTAGGCAGTATACAGTTCTGTTAATCCATGCTTAGTCATTTTATAGTATTTTAACTATGCATCAAGCAATATGGTGAGGCAGTTTAGAGAACGACATATGAAGTGCAATATCTGAAATCCAGATTTAGACATTCATTAAACACCTCCATAAAATCTGTGGTAATTCAGTTTAGCTTGGTCAGAGTGGAACTTGGGGTGATGACATGTCATTTTCAATAAATGAACATTTTTCAGTGAGTCCATTAAAAGAGAGAGAGAGAGGCAGATTCTCCAACAAACATGCTAGCTTTTTCCAGGACTGCAATTTGTTTGCCATTTTGTGCAAATGTGATAATAGAATCATTTCACCCTCGGTGAACAGGTAAAGACATGCTTATCTGTTTTAAAATCCGGATAGAGGAGTCTTCTGCAAAAGAAAAAAAAAGCACATTATTATCCCTTTGATCTTTGTCACTTACAGCATTAAATGAAAACCATTTGAAACAGTGGCATTATATTAAATGAATCTAAGTGCTCACGTAGGGCTCAGACTATTGTAAGAGCATGGAGATAAAATCATCCAGGTTGGCTATAAGCCACCCAGTTCCAGCTCCTAGTCCCTGCTTTTTAGTAACATGTCCCAACAGTAGCTTCATCAGGGTCATCTCTAGATTATAACCCCTCCTCTGCCCAGCAAAAAAAGCCATCAGTGGGTCCCCTTAGCTTACTTTCTAATCACCTCCTAGCCGCTTTGCCTTGAAAATCACTCAACTGAGAGGTGTGCTATTTGACCTGAGAGGTCAAATAGAGAGAGTAAAAGCTTCTAGCCTCTCAGAGTGTTTGCTATAGTTGACATTCATTTCCCTGCCATGAATGGACCACTGCTTCTGCTATATAGGCAAAATTATTTTCTCCCAGGATAAACACTGAAAGTGCACACAACACTGCATGGGCTGGCCATGTATTGGTGACTGCCCATCAGCTGTCTGAGTAGGCAGGCTGAAGCACCCTGTGCAGCTGCAGTTAAAGGCTGCATCCAGGTTCCTCAGCAAGGGTTACTATGAAGGCTCTGAGAAGCAACAACAGCATCTAGCTTCTCTCATGGCAACAGCAAATGTGGCTTTTTCAGGATCTTTGTCTTCATTTTTACCTACCGTGTAGCTTAATAGTAGAACCCATGTTGTTTTGCACACACAGAAACTCCCAAGTTCACTTCCTAGCATCTCCAGGTTTTGGGGGGGTCAGTTTGGGTGCATGAAGGTGATTTGAAAGTTATCTGCCTGAGACCCCATTGAGACCCACTACCAGTCACAGTAGATGACACTGGCAGCCGCTTACAAATTCCTACCAGGTGCCCAAGCCAGGTGCCATGCTTACTCAAAAGCAAGTTCTCCTGTGTGAATAGGACATTATGTGGGGGTCACCCAGGCCCCTTGGACTGGCATATTTCTACCCTGTGTTACTATTGTGCCTATAGAGAGAGTTGTGGGTCCTGCAGTCACCTCACTGACCCTTTCCCCAGCTAGTTCTTATTCTTCTCTTTTGTTTCTCATTCTCTTCAACAACAGTCTCCAAAATGTGGAGCTTTCCCTCTCTGCCCCATCCTCTGAGACATAAAGGCCCCTTCCACGTCCTCTTCTCTGACAGGTGAGTTTCATGGCACAATAAAGGCCCTCGCCAATCAAAGCATCCAGAATTAAGAGGGGAAGCAGGATTCTCATTCAGAGTTATGGGACTATTACAACCTCCCACATTACTCCTGGTTCATTTGCAATCAGCTTTTTCATTATCTTTCAGCTACACCGGTCCAGAATTATGTTAATTGCCTATTAACTACAGTTGGGTGATTCATTTATTCTTTTAATTTAGAGTATCGATAATGGATCTAACCTCTATTTTGCTTTTAAAACTTTTTGATACAGTCTGTGCTGTCAGTGCAGCGACAGTGAAAACACAATGTCAATACCGTCACTACTCCTCAAGATCATGCAATCTCTCTAGGCAGCATCGCATCCTATATCTTTGGCGTCTCCTTGGACAGCTTTAAGTGGCACTTCGGCAAATTGTAGGGAAAAGTCACCCTACTCCCCCTTTTGCTGTTCCTTTATGTTTAAAAATAGGTTTCAGCTGGAGTGTTTTCAGAAATCTTTCTGACTTTTCTTTCAGCCTGTAGCATTCTTATACTTTTCAATATAGAGTGGCTTGGATGGCTCAGACATGGGAACTACAGTCCTTCCCAGAGATGTTTACATAGCTTTTGGAAGCAAATGGGATTTAGAAAAAAGTAACTGTGCTTGGATTATGAGCTCTTCTGTGCCTTTGAAGAAAGGGAAACTGTGCATTCAAAAGGGGGAAAGGCTGTAGCTCAATGGCAGAGCAGCTGATCTGCATACCAGAAGATCCAAAGATCAATCATCAGGATCTCCAGTTAGGGCTAGGAAGGTCTCCTGCCTACCTTTGGAGAGCTGCTGCCAGCCAATGTAGTACAGAACTAGACGACTTGCTAGACGATAACCTCCTATTTTCCTATGGAAAGATTCCATGGAATGATACGTCATTATGACTCGTAAGGGGGGGGGAAACTGCAGTGGGATAGTAGTGTGCAAAACTCATAGGTAGCATTCTGCTTGATTTTTCAAGCCCCAAGCAGCAGCTGGCAATTAGAACTCCATTTGTTGGTTGCTTTTGCTCTGCTGTCTAGTGTCATTATTTAGTATAGTCACTAAGTGCAATGGGGCTTTATTGTATTTGGGTGAGTCAGGAGTTTCTTGTTACAGTTCTGTTGGGGACAAATGACAAATATCCTATTTACCTTCTTGACTCACAGTATTTGGGTGAGTCAGGAGTTTCTTGTTACTGTTCTGTTGGGGACAGATCACAAAGATTCTATTTACCTTCCTGACTCATAGCCTTCCAAAACATTGTCAGTTGCTCACTCCACTTAAAGACTCCAGTTATTTGTAGTGCATTATGGGATATATATAAACAGTTGTTCTTGTGCCACTCTGATTTGGCACAGAAATCAGACTAAAGATGGTTTGGTGGAAGATTTAGATTATTGTGAGCATACAAATGATTTGGCACTAAATGATATGAGAATACAGAAATCACAAGAATGCATAATGCTCATTTCTGTGGAATAATTCATGAATAGATTCATGAGAAGGATGGCAGGTTGCAAAATGGCAACCATAATATTTCAGATCAGGGTTTGTTTACAGAACTGCACTATTCAGACCTAATTACAACCACAGACACTTTTTTTAATTATTTAAATTGTATTTATACTTTCCACCAAACCATCTGGCAGTATTGTAGCCCTTCTATTAATCAGAAACATTGGAAGTGGTGATGACGTACACCTCCACCCTCAACTGGTGTCACCTCCATGGATAGACTTTGTAAATGCCCAAATAGGGCTTTGGAACTTTGCCTCCAGTTATTCAAATAGTCCAGGGATATTTCCAGTGTGGTATATGAACGTAGGAGCCAACTCCTAGGGACTAAGGGGTCTTCAGCTCCCCCATAAGATATTTGAGCCCCCACCCAAGTTGATGGGCATTGCCATTCAAATGGTGTATGTGCACTGTCTCATGTGATCTGTTATGTGGGGCGGGGCTTACCTCCCCCTCCCCCAATATTTTGTTCAGGTTGGCAGCCCTGTATGTGAACAAATCCTGGAAGCCAATAAGATATAAATGCTTATGCTGGTGGTAGTTAGCATGATAATATGCTGGTGTTGCTAGGATCTCATTCTAATATTGCCTTTTAAAATTGTGCTGAGAGTTTTCTGAAGTATCTATGGTGAATGCAAACCAGCTGGCATCATTTACCATTGTTCGGCAATCTTATATATTTAATTGTGCCCAAGTAAGCCAAGGATAACAGATTAGCATTTTGCCTCCACATTGTATTTGCTTTGTATTGGTAAAAATGGCTATGCAAGGCAGTGAGGAATTGAGACTGCAAATCTAAATGCACTTACCAAGGAGTGAATTCAGTGCCTTGCATCCTGAATTGCCCTTCTGCAAACAATAGGTTGCCTTCTAGTCACAGAAGAGACTCTGGTCCAGTGTAGGCTCTCATTAGTTGAAAGGATGGAGGCAATTTTCACTTGTTCCCCTATGCTCTCCTCCTGCATTGCCTTCCCCACTGTTCTAGAGGGTTCTTCTTCAACTGCCTAGACCAGATTTTTAAATACTGCTGGGGGTTGTAGGAAGAATGAGTAAAAATCAACTTCCCATTCTCCTTTGGCCAGGGGGAACATCACATCAGAGGAGTTCCACTGACACAAACTTAGAATCCAAGCCTAGTGGATTTACTTCCAAGTATAGTTCCTAAGAATTGCACTGTACATCATATGCCAATTCCGTGTAAAAATTCTGCATGAATGTAACATAGCAATTAGATCATACATTGTGGAAAAGTGATGAAGTATCTTATTAGGTGATGTGCAACACTGAGTAATGTATTGGGGGCTTTTTGGTTTTTTAAATTTATATTTATTTGTTTTATTTTAAAATCTTTAAGATAATACAGTGGTACCTCGGGTTACATAAGCTTCAGGTTACATACGCTTCAGGTTACACACTCCGCTAACCTAGAAATAGTGCTTCAGGTTAAGAACTTTGCTTCAGGATGAGAACAGAAATTGTGCTCCGGTGGCGCAGCAGCAGCAGGAGGCCCCATTAGCTAAAGTGGTGCTTCAGGTTAAGAACAGGTTCAGGTTAAGAACGGACCTCCGGAACGAATTTAGTACTTAACCTGAGGTACCACTGTATTTTAGTTTACTGTTAATTATGTTGCTTTGAATGTATTCTTTGTATCTGACTTTCTGTAGTGTTTTATTCTGGATGGTTTTAGTTGATGTTTTAACATGTTTGAGGTTTTTTCTTAAAAATATAAAGTGGTATAAAAATGAAATGAATAATGATGGCGGTGCTAATGATGATGTGGGGATTTCTTCTTTTAGCCTTTTGGTATCACTTCACTCTATATAATGATGGACGCCCTCCAGGCTCTCCCCATTTGGCCCATGAGTTTGCAAAGTCCTGTGTGTTGAGCTTTGCAAGCACCAATGATCAGCTGATCATTAAGGCTTGCCAGGAGCCTGTGCCTTTGCCCACAGGACTTTGTTTCAAACCATGCATGCATATATGGGTCACCTGATTTCATTGTGACATCAGGTGATTGCTTACCTGTCAGAATTGGCCCAAAGGGGATGGGGGAGATCACGATCTGGCCTGTGGCATAACAATGGTCAATAACTATTTAATCATTTCTTTAAATAATTTCTATTGTGCTTTTCTACACCAGAGTGTACTCAAAGCAAGTTTACAGTAAAACAACAGATAACAAAACTCAAAATTATAAAAATGAAGCAAACCTATTGACTGACTTTGATGAACTAAAGGCCACCTCTAGCCCATTAAAGCTTATGTCACAATACATTGGTTGGTCTTTAAGGTGCCACAAAACTCATTGTTGCTGACACGGTGAACACACTTTTCATATTTTCCATGGAACATTTTAAATATTTTAATTAAGATTTATTCCCTTCATTGTGTTTTGTAACTAGCAAAGATAATTAGAGAAAATATGACTCTCTGTCTATTTTCAAAATTATTGTAAGCTGCAGGCACATCTTATTAGACGGTATAGAAGAAAACACTGATAAAAGCGGAAGACTGGTGTTTTGGCTTTATAGCATACTTAGGTCACCCTCTGCTGGACAACAAATGAATAGCCATGGATTTTCTGCTAAATATTTCTCCCTTCCCTTAAACTTGTTGGTATAGTTTTAGGGACTCCTTGACACTTTCTGAATATCCAGGCATTTGTTCTTGGCTTAAGTGCTGATAATGTTACCTAGATTAAAAATATAGGAACACAGTATTTGAAAATATTTGTGATTGGTTTGCCAAGCAGTGAAACAACATCCACTGTGGCTCAAGTAAGCTCTTTATGGGGGTCAGAGCCCTTAATAAAACAGGGCATAACAGAACAGTAGCAAAGGAAAAGTAGCATGTATTTGGAAGAGAAAACATAAACTCAAGCATTTTTTTAAAAAAGAGTTGTGTTCTTGCTCATTAAATATTTGCAAGCTGTCAAGACAGGATTTGACAGCTATATCCAAGAAATGTGATACAAGCATAAATAGCTCAAATCTACATCTCAGAATAGCTGGCTGGACTTCATAACCTCTATGTATAACACAACTTGAGTTGGCAATATGGAAACACATGGGCAAGATGTCCAGATTTAGACTTATACAATTTTATTGCTAGCCTGCTTATCCCTCTGCTAAACTTCTTCTTTCCTGAGAGAAGCAGATCTGTGGCAGATGTTTATTATGGGTTTTCAGACATGAAATTCCTTGTCTATTTAGCTCCAGGGATTTTTATTTTGCTCTGATTAACCTTCTGGACTTTTTAAAGGCATTATTTTCCAGGTCCAGCCCTACCATTAGGCAGAGTGAGGTGGTAATCTCAGGCAGCTAGTTGTGGATGTCATGAAAAAGCTGCAAATTGTAAGTTATTAAATTTAATATGGTTGCGCTTTTCCTCCCAGGCAGAGGCATTTGTTATACGTTCTGCTTCAGGTGCCAAAAATAACTTGGTCAGCCTTGGGTACGATAGAACTGACTGGTGGGGTGGGGATTTGCTCATCTGCCTCAGATGACTTAATGTGTCAAGCTGGGCCTGTTTGTTTCTTATTTGTATTTATGAAAGGGAGGGAAGGATTGAGATGCACCTTGTTGGGCATATCCAAGAAGGAATGAGCTGAAGGGAGATGATAGTATATTTGAGTTGTATATACTTTGATACATATAAGGAAATTGATTAAAAAACTGAATCGCTCTCTCTTTGTACAATTATTTTCCTTTCTAGAGAGAATGACCACTGGAGCTACACACAATGGGCATAGCATGCAAATTTAATGCCACCTACTATGACTGACTAACAGCTTTGGCATAGATTAATGTCTCCCATAAAATTCACCCTCTCCAGTTCATGTTTTTTGTATAAGGTAACATGCTTTAGTCACAGTTTGAATGCAAAGAATTGAATCTGGCCCAGGGACACCATACGGTGGTGTAATTCATATATTGAAGCAATTCAAAGAAAGTGCAATTTATGTAATTCTAGTGCCCCTGAAGGAAAAGTTCAGTGGGATTGACTAGAAAATTAAGTTTCAAATAGGCTTCTTGGTCCATCCTATATAGCATATATGCGCACTCGCTGCAGAATGATTAAAAGCATTGCAAAGGTTATAATCTTAAATTCAGACACAAATACATCAGCTGGAAGTCAGTTCTGTTGCAATCAGGCAGGCTTAACGTCTGAGAAATGAGCCGTTTGTATTGAGGCAACTGTATTTCTTCAGGAGCCTATTTATCTCTAGCTAAGTATTTTCAAAAGGAAGAAGACCTCTGGAATTGTTCAAGAGGCATAAATCCAAGATGCTGTCTGCCGTCTTTATTCCTTAGCTCTGTTGCATGCTGTGATTAACAGAAGGAAGCAATAGAGTTGTATATAGCTTTTCTTCTTCCTTAATCCTAAACACTTCCTTGGATTTCAGTGGAACCTTTTCCTGTGTGACTTTAGAATTGGCATCTCAGTTTCATACTTGCTATGAACCCTGTTCAACATGCACCATTGGTGAAAAGAGATTTAGACATTATAGAGGAATGTTGTCAGTGAAATTCACAGTAATTTGCACATTCAGCTGGCAGTAGATATTTGAAACATCTCAACTGGAATTTGCACCAGCTATGTGCAGTTTTACAGCCTGTGGAAGTGCCTTGCACAAGTTCGCCTTTTTGTGAGTGGTATTCAACTAAATAATTGTGCTAGTAAGGAATAACACGACTGCAACAAGCCTCGCCCCCTCTTCTCCTTGCATGTACCCCCACCACCCCGAAATCTGATCCAAAGGGTTGGGGTAGCTCCAGAAGAGATTTAGAGCATGCGCAGAGGGAGGAGAGGAATAATGTTGCATTGCACAAGGAGTAATCCTTGTACTGACGGAACGATTTGCTTAGCGTTGAATGCAACTCTATATTTTCAATAAATTGCTGTTGGACAAAAGCAGAAGTTACTGCACCGATGAAAGGTTGTACTTCTTTGTTTGTTTGTTTGTTTGTTCATTCATTCTATCTTTCTTAAAATATTTGCATGCTGCCCAGGGTGACTAATGGACATTCAATCATAAAATAATTACAAATAAAACATATTTAGAACATCCAAAGTCATGAACCTGTGATAGACGGACTATTTTGACATTAAAACTAAGTTAGTCCAGCAATCCTGAAATAAATAATATTAGGAGAGTTTTGTCTCCTTTTTCCACTGGCTTTTTTAAAAAAAAGATGTGAATTCATATGAGCCTAAATTAAAGACAAGATCCACAGAAAGCCCTGTGCATTATCTCCGATTCCCTAGAGAAACAGTCAGTTCTTTTACTTGTTGTTCAGATGTTCTTGCTGCTGTCTTTTCAAAGGCTTCGGGTTCTTTTGAACTTATCAGGCTCTTGGCTAAAAAATGCCAGCGCTCTCTCTCCCCACCCTCCCCACCCGCCTTAATGAACAGCAAAGAGTAGCAAAATAGGAAACTTTGAATTAAAGTCTCTAAAAGCTGGAGAAGTAACTGATAATATCCAGTCCTTTTAGTTTAAGCTCCAAAAAAAGACAGTGGGAAATGTAAGAATTTAGTAGACGGTAATGTTGCTGTGCAGTAGCAGCTGTTTCCTAAAACGAAGGTGGGGAAAAAATCAAATATGTTGATGCAGTAATATTTAAATGTTCCAACTGTGTAGACTGGGGTCCAGCTGATGAGAATCAGGAGAGCGGTTTCCAGTTGCACGGGAAAGATCAACATCCATGGGGCTGGATCATTTAAATGTTACCCCAATGGCACTGAAGCAACTCATAGAAAATGGGCCTCCAAACCTCTATTACAGAAGCTGCTTCTCTGGAAGGGGACAATAATTTATGGAAATTGACAATATGTGGCTATTTATTTAATCAAGAACCGCCAATCAGAAGCTCCATCTGAAGCTGATATAGTTAATTTGCAAATATTAGAGGTCACGGGTATAAGCTTAGAGCAGAATCTTCTCCCCATTCCCTCCTGCCCTGGCTGGCATGCCCTGCTAGTTTCTGCAGTGGCCTTACTATCTTAAGCAAGGGTGGCAACAATTTTCAACCCGAAGGCTGCATTCCTTCACGAGAAATCTGCTGGGGCCGGTGGCCAAAGAGGGCAGATCAATGGGTGCAACTTTTACCTTTGTACCATTGGCTATATTCTAGCCACAAAAGGTGTTTACTTACTCCCACCCTCATTTCTCTCCACCTAGGGAAGCAAAAAGCATTACCACAGTTTAAAGGCACATTGCAGCCTGGCAAGAGTATTTGAGGATGGCTGGCCCAGGATGAAGATTGTGGTCTAGAGAGTTGGGTGGAGGCAGCCTGAGGAAAGGCCCAAGTGCTGGAAAGAAAGGCATGGAGGGCCCACTTCTCCTATTGGCCCAGTAGAATACTAGTTCCATCCTCTAATTATCTTTATGTGTACAGGAGCCCCAATGTCTGTATGAAACTCTCCTGCCTACAGATACTTTTCCCTCCAGTGACGGCAACAAACAAATTCTTTACACCCTTTCTGTGTGATCAAATAGGTTGGGATTTACAGGTTTCAGTGTTGCAGTAAAATGGGCACATCATTCATTTTAAGTTCTCCTATTAGTAACTGGTTCCACACGAAGTCAGGAATGTCAAAGAGCAGCATAATATATATGGTGATCTGATTATTGCCCTGGCCAAAATAATAAATAATAAATAATAAATAAATAAAAGTATTTTCCTGGCTGAATATGTTAGAAGAAGCAATGAAATAACTCAAATGTAGTTAAGCGGTAAGACCTGGGCTGAATTTTCTTTTTCCCCGGTGACATTTTGCTGGAAACGACATGGCTCAATGAAATCAAATCTCTCTCTTTGCCAACTAGTCTGCCAAATTTCATTCAAGTCCAAACATTCATAGTTCATTTACCTTATTTTTTTTTTAAAAGCTCTTTAATCAAGGTAATATTTACTTCATCATTATGCCTGAAATCAAGACAGGATGTTCATCAGGGTATTTGGATCTAAACGTTCTTTCACCATTGTTTCCACTTTAATCTACATAAGTCTGCTACAGCTAACAAAACAGATATGAAAACAGCATCTTTGGACCTTGAAACTAGAAATGATGGTATGGAAATATTAATTGCTCCTGTTGAATAATCACATGTGATCTGAAACACTGGTGTGGGTGAATGGAACCTCTGCTTGTACTTTAAGTCTGTATAGATCCATTTCCCAAGTGATGATGATGATGATGATGATGATGATTTTGTGGTTGACTCTGATCCTAAAATCAATAGGACATCTGTCTAAGTAAAGCCTGGGATGCTACAACATTAGAGAACTTCTCTGAAGGTACTTGAGAAGAGGTTGGCTATACCCCTTTCTGAGATGGCTTAGATCTGAAAAGCCCATCTCAAATGAGTCAGACCCGCTGGTGTCCATCTAGCTCAGCAAATTCTGCACTGACAGTGACTCTCCAGAATTTCAGTCCTGCCCGCAGATGCCAGGGATTGAACCTGTGATCTTTTGCATGCAAGCAGATGCTCTGCCACTGCCTTTCCCCCAAAGGTGTTTTCTTCCTCTGCTTGTTCAAGAAGGCTTGCAGCAGCTTAGCACCAACATTTAAGAATCATGAACTCACTCCTAGGACTGCCAAGCCAAATGTAGTTAAATGATTACTGGACCCAAGGCAAAAGGGGGTTGGCATTAGGCTAGTGTGGGTGAATTAAGGGATTTCTTGCATTTTTGTAAGCAGCTAGCTATTCTGTGAAGAGATGTTGTATTAAATATGTGTTTCACTGTAGGTTTCCAATGCAAGATCTTGAGAACATGCAGAGCCTTATGCTTTCCAAGCAAATAATAATAATCTTTAGCTCCATTTTATTGTTTATCAGAACCAGCTTATGGCTTTGTCTCAGAACAATTCTGAAAACACAATTCAAAGCTTTGAATGGTTAATTTACAGTGGACTGAAGCTTCACATATCTGACGAATGCAGGGTAAGAAGTGCTCAGAGTATAGCTATTCTCTTCCGTAAGGGCTCTACAGACATATCCAGATCTACCACATAGGAACAAATATTGTTTGAAAGCATCAATACTTTACAAAGGAGGCATCTGTCAGCATTAACACTGATTGTAAGACGCTAAAACTTTAGGAGTCACACTATCTCAGCAGATACAACCTTTCTATTACCATACCACTATAGAATACAATTTTGAATTCATACACTATACCGCTATGCCAGGCCCCACTTGAGATCTTCATTCTTCCCGGAAAAAATCTTAGTGTTTCCAGAGCACTTAGCTATTTGTTTGCCAAATAGCATTGTCTCATTCTTTGATTAGTATTATTGTTCTGAAGAAACATATAATATGGGAAACTGTAATTGTTTTCATAGAATGATTCACTTCTCTGTGCAGAAATTATGTTGTGTCCTATTGGTAACTGTGTGCATCACATCCTTCAAACACCAGAAGGATATTGTCTCTGTAGTAACTGCATGATTGTTGTTAATTGCTGTTTTCCTGCAGTTACAACTATAGCAATTGCAATTGCTTAACGTGCAAAAGCATTACTGGGGAAGAATGCAGTTTACATTTATCTTCATTAATAGAATCCAGTATTTGGAAATGAGGAGCAACCATCATGCTGTGTTCATTTGTTCCTTTGGGGCGTATGAACATCTGCTTACTATGCTGTCCTATAGAGACAATTATTCCACCATCACAATTTCCATGATGTTATGTGGCAGAAAAATGCAGCACGTAAGATGTTTGAAGTTATTTAATCTTTCCATTCTTCGAGGAAGAAGTCTGGTACCCAGAATTCAGTTATGACTTCAGAAGGAACAATTGTCTCTGTGTGCCTAATTGACTACTTTTAACATGCTTCTGAAAGGTATGAATAGGATAACATACAATACGTAAAGATAACAGCAGAGAATATCAGGGGTCTCAAAGTTCACTTAAATAAAGGTAGTCAGAATTTGGAACTGTTAAATGCCAAGTTTCAATTAAATGTATAAAATCACTGTGTTTGAAAACTGGGGGAACATGTCCCCACCTACTTCCATATTTTTCTCCTTTTGTATCGTTCACTTTTCTCTGAATGATGTAATACTGCTACAGTTCCGCTGCACTCGCACTGGATGGGGAACCTCAGTTCAGATGAGCATAGACTAGCATCTAGTGCAACCTTTGCCAACCTGGTATCCACCAGAAATTTTGGACTGCAGTTCCCATTATGGGAGTTGTAGTCCAAAACATCTGGAGGGCACCAGACAGACAAAGGCTGATCAAGTGAATCCCTATAAAATATATAACAATCAGGTCAAAAGGTCAATAGGAGAATTAAGTAAGTGTGTTTTTCTCTGATTCTTAAGCATGATCCACCCAACTGTAAGCTTTCTTAAGGGTTCAATCATACGCATAGTTAACTAGGAATCCCATTTAATATAGTTTGTGTCCTGAACCTCGGCATACCCGGAGGTCAGTCCTGATGGTGCACACAGTCCCAAGGGTAACATTACAGAGTAGTCAGATGGTCCAAATGGTCAAATACCAGTCTAGGTCCAATACAACGAGCAAAGTCTGAAGTCAATCCATAAGGTCAGGTTCCAGCCTCTGCAGAAGATCCAGGGGGGATTGAAGCACCTGGGATCCGTCCCAAAGTCACAATCTAGGGGCATTCCCAAAGCACCCAAGCTGTGGTCCATCAACAGAGAAAGTTGAACAAACAGTGTCTCTGACTTGCTTCCCTTCTATCCTTCCCAATCTTGATTGATGCACCTGAGCTTACTGCAACTGAGCAGCTGTGTCTCTCCACTTGACAAAAGCATGTGATCCTCATCTGCCCTGAGCTTAATCCAGCTGAGTGACCACAACCTCCTTTCAGACTTAACAAGTTCCATGATCTCCACCTGGTCCACTACTGAGCTGGGCTGTCTTCCCTTGCCTGCCTCAGTCTCCTGGAGTGCACTTCCTGTAGTTCCCAGTGCCTCAGAAGCCTGCCCTGTCCACAGATATGGGGGCATCTCTGGTTCTGGTGATGTGTCCCTTTCCCCTGGCTCCCATGAACTATCAGCTGCCCCTTCAACGTCCTCTGATGTTCCGTAAGTACCCCCTGAGTCCCCAACTTCCCCTTCCCCATCTACAGCTTGTCCCGGTGTATACCAGTTATGGCTACACCCCTCGCCGGCATCCTCCACCCCTTCCTTGGTGTCCTGCCAGGAACATACAAGAGTGTGCTAACTTCAATGCCTCTTAAAAGTGCTTAAACTTGGATGTGCCCTGCCCAGTAAGTGAGAGTTCTGCACCTGCTTAACTCCCCCACAGAAATCCATGGGACTTAGAAGTATTTAGCTGTGCCTGGATTGCACCCCAAATTCTTAATTGCATCTGGAGTCCATGGATGAGTAGACATGGTATTAACACTAGGATGTAAGTATATTATATAGTTTTCTGCTTTAATATTGTAAACCTGCTCAAACACCTCATGTCATTCTAAACAGGGGGAAAGAATAACTGAAGCACATGCAAATCTTACTAAGTGCTTCAGAAAGGCCAATATTAACTATAGCAGTTCTTAATGATATTCTTAAAACCTTGCTGTCTCACTGCAGATATCTCATACATAACCTTATGAAAACAAGCCAGTCGGACTTAGTCATAGTTGATAATTAATGTGCAATGGTATCCAGCCAGGATTAATTTCGTGCTAGAATAAAACATATGGAATAATGCTTAAGCTTACATCAAAGTCAAATACTGAATACATCAGGATACATTATCTCTTCGCTTTCTGGAGTATATTATGTTCTATTAAGATCTGATGTGTGCTGAATTTATGCCCACGCTTCCCTGAGAATTTGTGGCGGCTCACAAATGTGTTCCCCAGCGCCTTTCTCTGTAGCATCTTTACAATTCTGCTTCTCGTTCTTCACATGAAGATTAAAACACTCATTATCTGTCTGAGAAATCAGACCAGGAGTAGAAGTTAAATAATAGTTTAAAAATCCTTATAAGAAGACACCTAGAATATTACCTACTGGAGAAGCCTTCAAAGCAGCGAGTTTAAAAATCCAAACTATTATTCCATGCTGATTTGGACAACAAAGAATTTACTGGGATTTTAATTCAGCTGTATGTGTGCGCTTTTTGAAGCTGTTGCTTGAAGTGAATACAACCTTAACCATTATAAAATATTCAAAGCCCTCATACATATCAAATAGACGGAGGTACAGTTACTAGGGCAATCTCTTGCATATCAGTTAAGCAAATAACTGGGCTCAAAAGTTTCCTAATTCTGGAGTAGGTCACTTACAGCAACTAGCACTTTAATGGATCATTTCATCAAGTGGATTTGGTCTTACTGTGGCCAGTTTAAGAATTAAGGTTCTACTTAGTATGCAGAGAGTGTGCAGCCTATTTGTTGTGAGCAGTACCAAACTACAGCAAAGCATGCTGACCAAACTCTACCCGCTAGAAATCCTGTTCCAGCTGGAATTTTCTCATGACCATTTCTCAAATGACCTTGGGGGGAAATGGAGGTGGAGGGGTTGCACCCTTAAGAGTTAAAAACGGTGTATAAAGCTGCATAAAAACACTATGTTGGAACCATAGTGACAAAGAAAGAAGTGACCAGGGACACAAAGAGACATATTATATGCCAGCAGCCAGATTAGCAGTGAGGGAAATAGCATGGAATTTCTAGGGAATTGGATGGAATAGCTACCATTGCTGGTTTGAGAAGTTCCACCAGAACTTTGGCAACTTCCACCCCAACATCAAGTTGAGCCTAGACTAGTCCATGTAGAAGGTTTATGTTCTGGACACTACAATTACATAATGGACATAGAATCATAGAACATATAGACACTATCTTATATTGGAAACCTAATGACCCCTACATATATCTATATGCTTCCAGCTTCCACCCAGGACTCACCACAAAATCTATTGTCTACAGCTAAGCCCTGCTATACAACCACGTGTACTTTAGTTTTGCTTGTAGTTTTGGACTACAACTTTCAACAGCTCTAGAGAGCAAGGCCAGTGGTCAGGGCTGATGGGAGTTGTAGTTCACAACATCTAGAGTGCATAACATTGCTTACACTTGCATTAGACAAGTTTCTACTCACAATTTAAGCTTTTACAACAGACTTTCCTAAGTCTACAGAACCCACCCACACAATGAAGTGATAAAGCAGAGTTACGAGTTCAGATAGATACCCGTGAATAATTTAGTAATGACTCCCAGAAATGAAAGAGACACAACAGCACTTTTTGCCAAATACATCATCAAGGATTTACAACCAGGCAATAATACTTCTCTGTTTCAGACTGTGGGTGGTAGGCCTGTTATTGCTTACAGACACACCCCATCTAAAACAGCTACCATTCCTCAATAACAGAGACATGTGTACAAGGACCAGACTTTGCAACAAACCCAGATGCCAACCCTTCCATTGTGTCAGATTATTGGTCCATCTAGAACAGTCCATCTAGAACACTGATTGGCAGCCACTGTCCAGGATTTTTGATTTGAGTATAAATAAAGACAATAGTTCTCTTTCCAACCACAGAAGTTAACTCAGCAGTGCCAAGTTGATTTATCACTCGTAACTGTTATTGTAAAGAGTCACTGTAGTTACGGTATTTTACATAAATTCTAGGTCTCATTCAATTGTCAGTATTTGTACATTTTGCATGTTATTTCCCTCTGACCTTACTGTTTACAAACTCCTATGAAACGTTGTGTATCTTATGAACTGGACTCTAGTCAATGAAAACGTGTGCCATAATAAGATCTGTTAGTATTTAAGGACCAACAAAACTTTTCATTGTTTTTGCTGCAACAAACTTAACATAGCTATTGCTCTGAAAATTCTTACAAAAATGATTCCTTTGAGAGTTCACAAGCAATCAAGAAGTAAATGTGATGCATTAACTGAATGCGTGGACAAGGTCACGCCAATTTTCTCTTTAATTGCAACAAGTTAAAACCAAATTGCTTCTAGGAACAATGTTAAGATACTCCTTTCAGTTGCTGTGATCTCCTGCCACAATGTGATTATTTGGGATGCTTTAAAATGGTTAAAATATGTTTGCATTTAACAAGATCCAAAAATAACTCTGTGAAAAGAAAAACACTTTTCTAACTAGTGCAATCAAATATTCTAGAGCGAATTACTGCTTTCTTAGAATTTTACAGCAAAGAGATTTCACTTAGGAAAGTTTTTAACGTTTGATGTTTTATTATGTTTTTATATGTGCTGGAAACTGCCCAGAGTAGCTAGGGGAACCCAGCCAAATGGGTGGGGTATACAACAACAATAACAGTAACAGTAACAACAACATGATGGTGATGCAGCAGCAATAGTCCTGTTGACAAATCTTAACTTAATTCACTCTTCCCGAAACAATACATAAACCAAAATGCAGCCATTAGTCAAACTTTGCACTTCTCTGAATCTTGCAATGCAGTTTTCCAACAACAACAAAAATGGTTCAAAATGCATAGCAAGAGGGGAAGGTATGCATATGAATGCATAGGTTAGAGGCATCTTGCTTCAGGCCTTCTTTCATCCCGGCCTAGAAAACCCTAGCACTCTGGAAGTAATGGCTCTCTTTTCATGTCGTAGAGCAGCTGCAGCGAATATGATGCCCTCCAGGTGTTTCTGGACTCTTAACTCCCATAGGCCCAGCCAGAATGGTGAATGGTGAGGGATGATGGGAGATGGAGTCCAGCAACTTCTGGAGGGCACAATGTTGGCTACCTCTGTACTAAAGAAAACACAAAAAAAGGACTAGGACAAGTTGTTGCATCTATAGTAGGAGTGTCCTTCCTTTTATGTTTGTTAAAATTTGTGGTCCACCTTCTACTGAATGTTTTTAAACTGCCTTAATCATTGGTCTCTTTAGCTAAGTAACGACTCCTCTAGCACCAGCTCTCTGGGTCTCAGGATGGGTGTGTTCTGTTTTGTTCTGAAAACCCGAATGTAGCCACTGAAGCTGCAATCAGAAGTGGAAGTCTAGGACAGGAGGAGTGGCCCTTCTTAACTCCATGCCATTTTTCCTACTGGTAAAAAGTGGGGGAAGGACACACCCAGCAGTTTTTGCCTCCAGTGAAGTAAAATAAACAAACATACTTGCATATTTTCATTTGTGGGAATGAAAACAACTTAGGGGGTGATTTTCACTGGAAAAACTGTGTGAGGGGGAAGAGTGAAGAAGTGTCTCTACAGCTTCCCTGTAGCCATTGCCCTTCAAGTCCAGTGGCCACAATGTATAAAGAAAAGAAATATAAAACTGTCTAAAGTCCTCCCCCCAGCAGATGTTTCTCTGTCTTGCTGTCCAACATCTATTACACTGCAGATGCCATGGCCTGAACCTAGGAACCATGTGCTCCTTCCCATTATATTTTTGTGGCTTTATGTTAGGTAGCTGTGGGAGCTTGAATTACTTATTTCTATGACCTTTCTTGATCTCTGGCTATATGTGGAACGCATCAGGGGGAATGTGAACAAATGGCCCACTTACATTTTAATGAATTGACCTCTATTTATTTTTTTAAAACCCACATGGTAATGATAATGGACCAAGAAAATGATTTGGGTTTTGCATGCATGGAAAATCAGTGTAAACATCATTCTTTTGGTGTGTATTTTCCTCTGTTTAATACACAGAAGCCCTTTTGTGCACTAAAGTTCATAGTTTCAGGAATTTAAAAGCCTCCAATATAAAGATGTTTTGTAATATTTTTATCTGGACATGACTATGACCAACAGTTGCCTTAAGTTTCAAGTGCTCAAAATGATATTTACCACTTATAATATGAAGTGTGTTCTTTGTTAAGTCTCTAAAAAAATGTATTCCTGGTTAACAGGATACTTACAACTTTTAGGCTCCTATCCTATACACTTAGGAGTGTGTCAAACTCAGCTCAACTGAACTTACTTCAGAGTAGGTTCGAGATAAATATGATTCTCTGTACAAGATAATTACAGTAAGGCAGGCAACGTTGAAGTTTATCATTCCTATTCTTTCATAACCAAGAACATTCAGAATGCAAAGTACAGATGATGCGCTACAAAAAAGGGAAGGTTTGCTTTTAAATGCACCCGTCCTAATTTAACAGCGAGGAGAACATTACAGAAGCAAAACAAAAACCTTACCCTTTCATCAAATTAATCATTAACTGCTAAAATAATGTGTTTGGCCAGATGGCAGTATCTCAATGGCATAAATTTGAAACAGTATTTTTAGAACCACAGCTTTCAAACTCCCATGGTGTTGAGTCATCCATCTTTATTGACTGAACTTCCTTCATATACCTACTTGGGACTCTTAAATAGATGCATCAAAGTGAAAACGGACCCAGGTTCCACTGGGGGACAAGCGCATACCTCTACTGTATTTCTCAGAAATGCTGAGTTAGATCCTTTCCTCTAATAAAACAAGGACGTAGGATATAGCCTTCCTGGGTATGAGAAGACAAATGGGCTTGGTATACCATTTCTGACAGAGGCCAGTTCTGTTTCTTCCACGGAATTGTGAAAACAGTCTTTTGCCCACCCTCCGTCCCATCCCCTGAATTGTGCTCCAAAGACCTTAAAGCAGAGATGAGTAACATGTGGCCCTCTAGATGTTGCTCCCACCAGCTCCAGCCAGCCTGGCTAACAGTAAAAGATGAAAGGAATTGTAGTACGGGACATCTGAAAGAACACAAGTCCTCCATCCCTGTCTTAGAGCACGTCAAAGATCTACAAGACCTTGTTCGTTCTTTTCCTTTGGCTCTTGGTCACCCACTGACTAAAAACAGAAATAAGCTGTGCCAGGCAGAAGCATAATATTACATCTTTGTTTTCAGTGGAGGAGTTTTAGCTAGCGCTAATCCAGCAGACGGGGACTAACAACTATTTTAGTGCATTCCACTGATTGTGATTGCCCTTTTTAACCCTTTAGAACTTCACTGTATGAGACAGAAAAGCAAGCCTGTACTGTTATCCATCTGCTTGTCTGGTAGCAACAGCCTTTTGTCAGTAAACAGTGGCAACCTCTGTATTCAAAACACATTGAGATCACTGCTTCAGACAAATTCTTATCCATATTTTGATCTTTATTTACATTTATTATACCTGTAACCATCATCCAAGTTAACAACTGTGATCAAACAGCACATTTTACTCTTGCTGCACAAACGTATGGCTCACTGTGTTCTATACATTTGACTTTGAGTGACGACCTTCTTTCTCCCTATTCCTTGGAATGGACATTTCCTCCATACACTCTACTTCTCTTATGCTTTTTAAAAATTCAGTCAGAGTTCCTTCATGTGCTGCTCATTTGGATTTCAGAATGTCCTCCCATTCAACAGGCAGTGCTGCATTTTTGGGAATTGATGGAAATATTGATTGCATTTTGTTCCGAAATTCATCCATCTACAAGAGAAGAGTGGAGAAATACATTTAACATAACATAACCCACATCAAAGTTAGGGACACACTGCAACTTTGGCTTAATCAAATTTTTAAAAACCTTTCTTCCTTAGAAGGAGAAAATCCTAAGCATGCATACTCTGCTCTTGAGATTCTCACACTGATAAATGTCAATGCAGATGGACTGCTACAGTAGTCCAATCTTGGGGCTACCAGAGCATGAAGTATAGCAGCCAAGTCATCTCTGTCCAAGAAGAGTGAGTGGTAGCTGGAAATAGGCACTCCTAGCCACCAATGCTACCTTAGCCTCAGTGGTACTGTTGAAATCAGGAGAACACCCAAGCTATGGACCTCTTCCTTTTGGGTGAGTGTAGCCCTATCCAGAACAAGCCATCACACTTGACTTAACATCTTGGCACATATGATTTCTGATGGCAACTTTCTGAAACTAATTTTACCTAGCAGAACTTTTATTTTCTTCACACTGCCTGAAAGCGGGGGATGCAGATTATCCTTGGTGATAATGCACAAATAGCAACCATTGCACTTCAGACTGTCAGTCTTTTCACCTAAAACAGATACCATCCACTCCTGTCATGGCAAATAATCCATAAAAGTCAGATGATCACAGTATTTTTCTAATCATAGCTAATGATCCTGCATCAGCAGGAAAAAATAACAAAAAGCACTCTGAAAGCACCTATCATTTCATGTTGCATTTTAAAATGTTTACCACAGTCAAGTTTTCACATGAAAAAACAAGACTGCGCTACTGCAAAGTACTTGGGCATCTGTTCAAACCAATCTGAATTGGGAGAGGGGAGAGAAAGAGGCTCGTCTATAGACTATAAACGACCCCACCATCCCCAAAGAAAATCCTCACTATTTTGTGTACTCTTTCAGATCTCAGTAAGTTCATTACTCTTTAACTTGATTTTTATTTATTCAGTTAATTCAGTTTCCATTTATCTAGAGTTCGGAGAAGATAACAGGGTTGTTGTTGCTTTAAAACACAGCAACCCCAAGATAAAACAAAATATCCATTAAAACTAATTTTATTTCTTCCCCTTGAATTTTTATTAAAACTTGAAAGAACAAAGAAGAAACAGTACATAGAAACAAGCATTTTTAAACATAAAAACTGAAAGAAAATAAAGAAGAAAAAAGAAGCGGAGAAAACCTTACATCTGCTGAACCCAAATGTAAGACCCTAAAGAGGAAGCTTTACTACTGTTCTTGTGGGAAATGTCAGGCCCAGACATAGAGTAACCTTTAGGACAGGGGTTGGGAACTCCAGAGGCTGCTGAACCTCAACTCCCATCAGCCCCTGCCAGCATGGCCAATGGAGAAAGAGGGACTACTACTGTATGGAAAACACAAAAACAGGCCTTGGGTAGCTTCTTGAAGTCCAACAATATTTGAAGGGCCACAGGTTCCCTCCCCCAGCTCTAGCTGAGCAGTGTTCCCCAACTGCAGGGCAGCCACTCACAATGTGTGTCTATGTCCCTTGGCTGTTTCAACTTGGCACATGGACTACTGTATTTTAATATTTTGTTGGAAGCCGCCCAGAGTGGCTGGGGAAACCCAGCCAGATGGGCGGGGTATAAATATTATTTATTTATTTATTTATTATTATTATTATTATTTATTATTATTATTATTATTATTATTATTATTATTTATGATATGGTTAGGAAGACACAAAGGATACAAGGAAGACAAAGACCAAAGACAATTTTGTAAGCGCATGATACATGTTCATCCAATACACTGGAATGGGCAATGCTGTCTCCTTGCCACCAGCTACCCATGGCTCAATCTGAGACAATCTGTTAACACGGAGAGTAGAAGATGCCTAGCTGATGCAATCTACTCTAAACTATTATGCAAACCTTCTAAATCATTGCATATGCATGGAATGTTTCTGGTGGTGGTACATAGGGATTGTTTGTTATATGCATTTGGGGAAACTGAAAAATAAAGTTGGGGGGGGGGGAGAAGATGCCTTCAGCAGATCTTAAAATGCAGAGGAAAAGGCAGTCTCCATGGTATTGGCTGGCCCAGGCTACCTGGGACTTTATAGATTAAAAAACAACCTAGCACTTTGAATTGTGTCTGAAAAGTAATAGGAAAGCAGTGTGAATGCTGGTGCACTGGCATGACATGCCTTCATTTAATGTTTGTGACACTAAAGAACTGCTTACATTTTACTTCTGTAGTTCAAAGAACCTCACCTCCTTTCAGAGTCCTGACTGGCAGTGAAAACAGATTATGTGCCTTTTGTTTTCTGTACTGCATAAAGATGAGAGGGGGAGCTCTCCGCTGAATTTGGGAGCCCTGGGTTTGATGAAAGCGTTATAGGGAGATACTGTTTTCTCCGCCCAAATGTCATATGTGATCACTGTCACACCAGCTATCAGAGTATGCTGAAATACTGAGTTAACCTTATGAAAACAGGCTTTCTTAATAGCCAGGGCATTGTTCCAAATATTCATCAAAACTCCAAAATAGACATAATGGGTCAGCCACGTGTATTTTATACAGTACACGTTTCTGCTTCCTTCACATCTGAAGCGTAGTTGGGTTCTTTTTTCTTTTAACATTAACAGCAGTGCCAGGGAAGTATCCCAATCCAACCTCACTACTCTCCACTGCTTTTAAGCAATTTTTTTTTTATTTTTTTTTGCTGCTTGGGCCACTAACTGATATTGGAGGTGGGCTGGGGGAACAGCTGTTCTTAAAAACAGCAAACTTCAAGGATTATTAAAAGAGGATTTGACAAATTAATTGGGGGAAAAGGTCTATCAATGGCTGCTGGGGTTAGGATTTATTATTATTTATTTTAGAGGATTTGTACCTCACTCGTCAGCCAAAAAGGCTCCAGGAGCAGCTGATATACAATCAATTAAAACAACACAGTCCCTGCTGCCAAGCTTACAATCTAAAAGACAGAACATAAAATATGGGGGAGGAATGGGGAGGTTAAGAGGAGGAAACTCAGATACCAGTTCCTAAAGTTGAAGGGCAGTTCTTACGATAACCGGCTGCAATAGTATGGTGGCTATATGGAGCTTCCAAGTTCAGGGGAAGTATGCCCCTGTTCCATCTAGTTTGGTCCAAAACTCATTTATCCTAGGAAGCTGCCTTATATGGAGCCAGGCCGCTGTCCATCTTAGTTCAGTGTTCTCTGCTGACTCTCCAAAGAGCAGGAACTCTCTCACAGCCCTACCAGAAGATGCTGGGGACTGAACCAAGAACCTTCTGCAGGCGAAACAGATGCTCTGCAGCTGAGACATGGCCCTTCCCCTATGAATCAAGTAGGTCTTTCCAAAGCGAATCAAGCTTTAAAAATGGTGCTAACGCGCTCTTTTTATTCTCCATGGGAGTTGCCATCTAACCTGGCTTTATAGTTACTTGGTGTATTCCTTTTTATATTTTTGAGTTTGTTTCTCTAATTGCTTAGTTTAATACAAAGTTGAGCAGGACATAAACATTTTGAATACATAAATACATTAAATTAATAGTCTACATTTTAATTATACATGATGAAAGCTCACAAAGCCAGCTTATTCTTAGCATTTTTAAAGGTTAACATATGTGCAGAGCAAAGAGACTTAGACAATTATAAATTATAAGGTCATAGAATTCCTCCCCACAGTATTTTTCTTGGTTCACATCCACCAGCTGTATACATATTAACTACAATTCATTTTTTTTAGAGCACAAATATCCTTTATGACTCATCCTCGCTATGAAAAACAAAATCGTTTCTGCTTTCTGAAGTGATAGAAAATTGATTTATGGCGGACACCCTGAACAAAGGGCTTTTATTTCTCAGATGATATAGCTTGTTAATTGCCATGGATCACTTCAAATTCTGAACACTTCGCCCCTCTCTTTTTCTTTCCTTCCCTCTTTTTTTTTTCTCTTTTCTAAACAAAAACATTAGCTGGGAGTGGCAAATAGACAAAGTTATGTTGCCATGGCTGGAAAGTGTTGCAATTGCAGCTTTAATTAAATATAAAGATACACTGCTTATTACCTCTGGCTAAAAATAAATTGCCACAATTCAGCTATTACTGCTGGAAAACTATTACATATTTATGTCAAATCGCTTCTCTGCTGACATAATGTAGCTATTATCATTGTATGGGAACTGAAATTAAAGCTGGAAAAGAGGTTGTCATCATTAGATGCTTTCCTTTAGAATAACTGATTCGTGAGGATACTTGCAATTAGGCAAAAATTGTTCGTGGGGGGCAGGGAGGACAAGACTTCTGCTCCCATCTGCTGACTCAATACACAAGAACTCTTGTGAGACGGGAGCGCGCGCGCACCCCACCCCCCCGTCTCCTGAATGTTCTCTTTGTGGAACATAATGACTCTGTCTACATTATTATCAGATGGATATTTCTGGAGAGCAAAGGGCTATACCAGCCATAGCCCCTATTTTAAATAGGGCAAATTGGTAGTGTGTCACAAGGAAGAGAGTCCAGCCTTTCTAAACAGCAGATACAATCTTGATCCTAGCAATGCAGCATTTATTCAGAATGTTGAACTCATAAGTCTTTTTAACATCCAGATCAAGGGATGGGGAAGAAGGGCAGGAATACTTGTATTTTTCCTACCTTCTAAGCCAGCAAAAACACCAGTGCTGGCATGGAGAGGCTAAAAGAGAATGAACTAAGAGAAATGATCCAAGAGACTTGGTACACTGCCACCTCATACGTTATGCTGTGATGAATGCAACCTTGCAAGCAGGCGTCCATGCAGTGAATGCCACAGCCAGTCCTTAACACAGTTCCTTAACACATGTACTTGGCTGCTACACATGGCTGGAAACGTATGTTTGCTGTACACACATGCCACGGTTTTAACAAGTTTAGATGCACACAGAGCAACCTGGAGAAATTTCAGTTGAACTGTGCAGCTCCCTCTCCGATTTACTTCTAACATCCTTTAGAAACAGCAGAAGGAGACATTCAAATCAGCTAAAGAAAGCATTGAAAGGAAAACAATAAACCAATCATTGAAAATATAATAAAATACAATGTAATACACAAGGACTTAAAAAACCCAAACCAATAGAGCCAGATCATTATCATAATCTAAAGCAGGGTGGGGAACCTTCTGAAAGGGAAGATGAGTAATATCTCCCCCCCCCCCCAGCCTTATGCCTTATCCTGGCAAAACTGCCCATACGAAGGTCAATGGAACTGGAAGGCACTGAGTAGACCAGCAGAATTAACTCTCCCAGTATATTTCCTCATGTGGATCATCAGCTGCAGTGACAAAGGCTGCTTCAGTCCCAAAACTGGGGTGGAAGCCATAATGAAAGAAATCAGTATGTTCTGATTTTGAGCAAGTTATACAAATTCCTGGGTGAAATTGGTTATTATAACATTGATAGGATAACAGAAGAACAGTGGGATCCAGATATGGTCTCTTCTAACAACAGATGAACTATTGCCATTTTAAAGCAGGTAAGCCTGGTAGCCTTAATCAACCAGGATGGGCCTAGGACTAGGTGAAGCAAGCAGGGGTGGGGGAGTTGTTTGGAGGGGGCTACTTGATACAGGACTGGACTGGATGAATCCCAAGCCGGAATTAAGATTGCCGGAAGAAATATCAACAACCTCAGATATGCAGATGACACCACCTTGATGGCAGAAAGTGAGGAGGAATTAAAGAACCTTTTAATGAGGGTGAAAGAAGAGAGCGCAAAATATCGTCTGAAGCTCAACATCAAAAAAATGAATATCATGGCCACATGTCCCATCACCTCCTGGCAAATAGAAGGGGAAGAAATGGAGGCAGTGAGAGATTTCACTTTCTTGGGCTCCATGATCACTGCAGATGGTGACAGCAGTCACGAAATTAAAAGACGCCTGCTTCTTGGGAGAAAAGCAATGACAAACCTAGACAGCATCTTAAAAAGCAGAGACATCACCTTGCCGACAAAGGTCTGTTTAGTTAAAGCCATGGTTTTCCCAGTAGCGATGTATGGAAGTGAGAGCTAGACCATAAAGAAGGCTGATTACCGAAGAATTGATGCTTTTGAATTATGGTGCTGGAGGAGACTCTTGAGAGTCCCATGGACTGCAAGAAGATCAAACCTATCCATTCTTAAGGAAATCAGCCCTGAGTGCTCACTGGAAGGACAGATCCTGAAGCTGAGGCTCCAGTACTTTGGCCACCTCATGAGAAGAGAAGACTCCCTGGAAAAGACCCTGATGTTGGGAAAGATGGAGGGCACAAGGAGAAGGGGACGACAGAGGACGAGATGGTTGGAAGGTGTTCTCGAAGCTACCAGTATGAGTTTGACCAAACTGCGGGAGGCAGTGGAAGACAGGAGTGCCTGGCGTGCTCTGGTCCATGAGGTCATGAAGAGTCAGACACGACTAAACAACAACTTGATACAGGAAATACCATTCCCCACTGCTTTGCTACTCTAAAATTCCCTCCTCCCAAAGCAGGTTTTCTTTTAAAAAATTACACATAATATAAATTAATTTGTAGTCAGTTCCTTAATCTGTTTAGAAGATGGGTGTTTGAAGTGCAAGCGCATTCCCATTAACTTAATACTTTTAAAAGGGAAGTCAGCAAGGAAAAATAATCTATCAAGGGTTAACACTACAAACAGAAAAAGAACAGCTAAGATTGTGGTGAGAAATGGCCTTTTAAGAACTTTTAAAGCTTGGCCCATTTCCTCTCCTGCCACCAGATGTAGCTGTGCAGCAACAAAGGACTTTCCAGGAAGTCTTCTCCAATTGCATCTTTAGAGGGCACTCTCCTGGGATGCGTTCCTACATCATTATTTTTAATCCTCATTAATCTCTGTTTTACTGTGTCACCTTCTAAAGATTTCCCATGCTAAAATCAGGATTGCATGTATTAAAGGGTACTTAATGGCAACACAATATTGCTTGGTGTTATTACTATGACCCTGCAGACCCAAAGTTGTGCAAGACAACTATAGCCCCTGTTTTAGTTAATGTGCTAGAATTAATTTATCCTCCTTTGCCTCTTCAGTTCAGGCACTGCAAGCTGCTATTTCTACAGCAGTGCATAGATAACTTGGGAGTTATACCCAGACAACGTGACTTACAAATGTTCAATGTGTTGTTTCACATAACCCTTCCCTCAAGAGACTTCGTAAGTTCCCAATAAGACTCCTTGCAAGATGTACTTACAGATGAATATGTCATCAGATTCATCTGGAGATAAGTGTATTCAGTCTCTCTGCTGATGATATTTTTATGGATCATTTTTCAGCCGAGTATTTCATTTACTGTACAGAATTATATGACACTTAAAACAAAAATGCCAAAGTAGTTATCAAAAATACCTAAACTAATAGTTCCTAAGCTTCTCAAAAGCAGAGCAGCTTCTGGGATTTCTTGTGTCTGTTACCACACTTACTGTCCCAACAGATGGCCAAAACTGAAAGCTGACTACTGAAGTCTGGCTTCTTTGGGATCCATGAACCATGGTTCACAAAATACAGGAAACTATGGATTGACTGCGGCTTCTTGGTTTGCTTCCTCACTTGTGTCAAGGGAAGAATGAAGTGCTGGTATGCAAAGCATACACATATCCTTATTAACTCATGGTTTGATCATGAGAACATGGCTGCAGTAACACTAAGGATGTAACATTATCAATCAGTGCTTAGGCCAGAGCAGCTAGTGCACCTGCCTGTTCGACAAAATGTATGCATTTATTTATTTACTTAAATCCTACTTTATAGCTTTGAAAGCAGCTTATGAAAGATTATCAATCTTGAATCCACATTTGACTTGCGTGCAGAAATATGACATGCATATGGAACAAGGATTATTGCAGCATTTCCTGCTCTTGTCCTTTCCTAGCAGCACACTAGGCATGGGAATGGGGCTGAGCAGCTGGAACGGCTATTTGGTTCAGAGTACAAATCTCACCTCTTTCCTCTTCTCCATTGATCCCATAGAGTTCACTATACAAAACACAAATGGTGGTGTCTTTGACACAGCCAATTTCTGTTAAATAAATCAGAATGTAAGTGTCTGACTCTAGCAAATCTCTTCAAGCATATCTTTTTCTCTTACTTTTCATATCTGATTTTTTAAAAATCGTAGTAATGTCTTTTTTCACCATGGTAATTGAAGTAATAAAAAAGTATTAAATTTTCAGTAAGAACTCAAAGTGACTTCTGATGGTAAGACCACCTGCTAATTATCTGTTAATAGCTTTTGGTGAATCTTCTGTTTGTAACAAGATAGGGCAACAAGACACAGTGGCTGTGTTCAGACTATCATACCTTGGTTTAATAAGCAGAGTTGTGAATGAGATTTGCACCCACAACACACAGCAATTTCACTTCTTTATGTGAGCCACTTGATGAGTTATATTTAACTGAAGACTTCCGCAATTGCTGTCTCATGCAAAGGGAGGAGCTGAGAGAATTATTCATATTTTCTTTATGTGGCCAGTGACTATCTGGATCGCTGAAGAATTCAGTATGAAAAGGAGTAGGAGAGGCCTGATTCCTTGAAAAACTCCCTAACCTCCTCCTTGCTTCTACCAGGACATCCATCAAGTTTTATTCGTAAAATGAAAATGAAAACTCTACTTCCAGTTCATGAACCTCAATTGTAGGACAAGCCTGTCTAACCTATCTATCGCAGGCTGCCCCTGGCCAATCCTTGCCGATCACGTAATCTACATAGATCGACGCAAACCAAGAAAGCAACTCTGGTCTCTCCCCCTAAAAAAAGCTGGTCAATCCAATGGGCAGATCACTGCCAGTTTATTTATACAGCCATACCTCGGGTTAAATGTGCTTCAGGTTGAGCGTTTTCAAGTTATGCTCCGCAGCAACCTGGAAGTAACGGAGCATGTTACTTCTGGGTTTCGCCCCTCGTGCATGTGCAGACACTCAAAATGATATCACGCGCATGCGCGGAAGTGGCAAAACGCGACCCGCATACCCACAGACGCGTCTTACGTTCTATTCAGGATGCGAACAGGGCTCCGAAACAGATCCCATTCGCATCCAGAGGTACCACTGTAGTGAGAGTAGATCGCAGTCTCTTGGGAGTTGGACACCGTTGCTGTAGGATATTCAGGGTTGATTAATAAGAACACCTGTATGTCTTCCAATTATTTTTCTTTTTTGTCATCATTGATGGAAAACTGTGATGCTGACAGGCCAGCATCAGTATCAGGCCAGCTCCTGATTTAGTACCCAATAGCTTATATATTATGCCCAGGGGAGGTGAGGAGGAGAGATATTAAGAAAGACAAAATCACCACTCATGGGGGAGAGCCCAAGCATTTTGTGTCAATTGTATTTTCAGGTCCTATCCGGCATTATGAAACATAAAATACAGTAATATTTATAAAACAAAGTCTCAAGAGTATGCAGCTCTTATGTTGCATGTTCACCCCTTGCTCTCCTTGTCTCTTTTATTTTCCCTTTTCTCCATTTATTAGCTTTGCCTTTCTGTTCCCTCCATTTTGTTCTGTCTGATCTTTAACAAAAAGTAGATTGTAAGATTCTAGGAACAAGAGACTGGCTTTTTCTTTTCTTTTCTTTTTTTAAAAAGTATGTTATTATAAAGCACCAGGCTCACACATGATGCAATATAAACAAGCATAAGAAAGTGTATGAGCTTTCGGGAATTTCAAAAGCATAATGATTCATAAAGTAATGCTACTTACACTGTGAACTCCCAAAGCCTTCCAGATGGCAAAACTGATCAGTCCAACTCCACACCAGGCATAAAGTGAACCCCATCCTAAGGCACGTAAGGCAATGGACGAACCACTCTCTGGTAAAGCAGCTGTGGCAACTACACCCTAGAAGAAGGGTTTTTGTTTTAATGAACAGAAATATATCATAGTGAGCCAGCAAAGAAGCATTTGCAGTAAGGTAGGGCAAGTCGCCTTCTGAGAATGTTTTCATATCACATATGACTTGTGTATATCACTCCTAGTTTTCCAAACATTCAAGTGATTAACAAAAGAATGGTTACTGGAGAGAAGCTTAAAACACTAATTTGGTCTTGCTTTATCCAGGGATACTTATGTTCAAAAATGTCTGAATGTTTGCATACAGATTAAGGCAGGTAATAATAATAATAATAATAATAACAACAACAACAACAATAATAATTTTATTTATACCCCACCCTCCCCAGCCAGAACTGGGCTCAGGGCAGATAACACCAATAAAATTACAATAAAACATAATAGGCGGGGGGGGGGAGAAAAAAATAGTTAATTTAAATACGGGTTAAAATACAATTTAAAATGTAGCCTCATTTTAGTAGTAGCCCATAGATCAGAACCATAAGGGGAGGGAAGCATAAGGGTCAGACTGAGTCCAAACCAAAGGCCAGGCGGAACAGCTCTGTCTTGCAGGCCTTGCGGAAAGATGTCAAGTCCCACAGGGCCCTGGTCTCTTGTGACAAAGCGTTCCACCAAATCGGGGCCAATACTGAAAAGGCCCTGGCCCTAGTTGAGACCAATCTAACCACCTTGCGGCTCAGGACCTCCAAAGTGTTGTTATATGTGGACCTTAAGGCATACCAGGAGAGGTGGTCCCGTAGGTAGGCAGGTTTAAACCGTCAGTTTCCTTTTAAGGAGCTCTGGCAAATTGCAGTTCCATTAATAAGAGCGGTTGCTGAACAGCTTGGTAGGTTTCTGGAGGAAACATCGGCTTTAGATCCATTTCAGTCCGGGTTCCGTCCTGGTTTCGGGACCGAGATGGCTCTGGTTGCCCTAACAGATGATCTCCGTAGACAACTGGATCGAGGCGGGTCAGGACTGCTGATTCTTTTAGATTTGTCAGCAGCCTTTGACATGGTCGATCATGATCTTCTGGACCACCGCCTCACCGACATGGGGATACTAGGTATAGCCCGTAAATGGCTGTGCTCTTTTATCTCTGGTTGGGGACAGAGGGTGGCGCTAGGGAGGGAGATGTCGTCACGCCACTTCTTGGTGTGTGGAGTGCCGCAGGGCGCAATCCTCTCCCTGATGCTTTTTAACATCTTTATGCGCCCCCTTGCCCAGACTGTCTGGAGCTTTGGGCTGGGCTGTCACCAATATGCTGATGACACTCAGCTCTATCTGCTGATGGATGGCCACACCGACTCGGCCCTGGACACACTGACCAGATGCTTGGAAGCTGTGGCTGGATGGTTTCGTGAGAGCCGACTGAAACTAAATCCTTTGAAGACAGAGGTCCTATGGCTGGGTCGGGATGGCATGCGGATGAGGGACCAACTCCCTCCTCTTGCAGGGGCCCAATTAGTGCCATTGCCTTCCGTTAAGAGTTTGGGTGTAATCCTTGACGCCTCTCTTTCCATGGAGGCGCAGGTTACAGCAACAGCCAAGGCGACATTTTTCCACCTTCGCCGCATCAAGCAGTTGGTCCCGTACCTTTCCCACCCTGACCTGGCCACAGTGATCCATGCGACGGTCACCTCCAGGCTTGACTACTGTAATTCGCTCTATGCGGGGCTGCCCTTGAAGCTGTCCCACAAACTCCAGCGGGTGCAGAATGCTGCAGTGAGGCTCCTCACGGGGTCTCTGCCATGGGAGCATATTCACCCAGTGCTTTTCCAGCTGCACTGGCTCCCGGTGGAGTACAGGGTCAGACTTAAAGTGCTGGTTTTAACCATTAAAGCCCTTCACGGCTTAGGACCCTCGTACCTACGGGACCACCTCTCCCAGTATGCCCCACAAAGGACCTTAAGGTCCATAAATAGCAACACCCTAGTGGTTCCATGCCCTAAGAAAGTTAGATTAGCTTCAACCAGAGCCAGGGCCTTTTCAACACTGGCTCCAGCCTGGTGGAACACTCTGTCTCATGAGACCAGGGCCCTGCAGGATCTGATTTCTTTCCGCAGGGCCTGTAAGACAGAGTTGTTCCGCCTGGCCTTTGGCTTGGAGCCAATTTGATTCCCTCCCCCTCTTTCTTTTTCCTTTCTCCTCCTGTGATGAGGCTGCATTTTAATGTTTTAATGTTTCAATATTTTAATGTATTTTAATCTTGTTTTTAGTTGTATTCATTCAACTTGTTTTTATTATTGCTTGTTAGCCGCCCTGAGCTGGGGAGGGCGGGGTATAAATTAAAAATTATTATTATTATTATTATTATTATTAAGAGTGAAAGGGATTTCTAAAAGATAATTCAGATGATTTTCACAAGGCTACAATACCCAAAAAATTTTGACTAGTAGTCACAACAGAGCACTTGAACCAGTACAAAACTACTCTACATTTGTATTTGTAACAAGACATATGGGCCAGAATTCACAAATGTATAATCCATGAACAGTTTTGTACTTTCAATTTCTATTTTCAGTAGCTAATCTGCACTGGAACTTTGTGCGACTTTTTAAACAGTCCCAACTTCAGAAAGATAGTCCAGAGTTTCACCCAAGGAGTGTGACTGAGGTAATACAAACCACCTCACTGGATTGCTGTGCAAGCACTGTATTATGCCCACATTACATTAAACTCCTGCAGGATCTTATTATTTATGAAACATCTCATGAGTCTTTGTATCAGTTGTTAAAAGATATCCACAGCTGGTTTTTGTGTGAAATTTGCTATGTAAAAGAATCCAAACAGAATGTATAAAATAAAGATTCTTTCTACTTTGTATTATGAAAGGATTCAACAGTTTTGAAATGAAAATACATTCAGGGTATTTTTGTAAATGTTGAGCAGAAAAGCCTTGAAAGAGCACTAATGGAAGACTATGAATCTGGGTTCAAGAGCATTCGCACATGAGGTAAATCCCTCAAGGGTATAAAATATTCGGCTACACTGTGTTGTTTACAGACAATTTTTGTCATATGATGTGTGCAAAAGCTATTTATACCTTCAAGACAAGTGATGAACTAATTGCTAGAAACTTCACTAAAGAAGAAAAGATCTCATTGATAAAAAGGGGAAATGCTACTATTTTAAGAGAAGGGATGTTGGTCACATGTTTATTAACTGCTGTTTTTACATTATAGAGTTTCTTTTATTAATTTAGGGCGCTTCTCTGTATTTGAATAACAACAAAATCCTAACAGAATATGTGCTGTGGAAAACAGAACTCCAAGCATCTTGGAAACATTTCACATTTTCAGGGCTTTGTTTTGGACAGAGGTGACAGACCATGGGAAGGAGTAAGTTGGAGGAGAAACAGCTAACTTTATTAACTATATTGATGCTGTTAATCTAAACTACCAATTCTGCAATAACTTTAAGAGAAGTGCTGTTTAGAAATCTGCTTAACTACTGCCTAGGGCATAATGATCCTGTAGTTATAGGGTAATGTTTAACATTAGTCATACTCAGAATGGACCAACTGAAATCAATGGACTTGTAAACATGCATCATATTGGGCTATAAATGCTCAGAACATTGTACAAGCAAGTTACTCAGCAAAGCAGGTTTTAAGGAGATGAAAAATAAATTTCCAACGTATTTGATTGGTTGAGTCATAGTAAGTTGAGACTGATGGCATGGCAGAGTTAGGATTTCTATGCTGGCAAGCCAGAGAACCAGTTTTAACATTGATTATAAAGGGGGAGACATGAACAGAGATAGCACTTAAATGCCTTTGCTGACTGGAAAACAGCAGTTATTGCAAAGTGCAATAGACAGAGAGCATCTGGAGTCAGTACTGTGCAGCCTCTGCTGCTGTTGTTTTAAATTAAAAACTAAAATTTAAATTTAAAAAACCACATTGGATTTAACCTACCACAGGCCTAACTGTATTCTGCAGTTATGGCCATGCTATATTATTTAAACAATGACTCTATTTTCCAAATGATTGGTCCTTAAAAGGAACCTGGCAATAACATCATTACAAGGCTACATTTTTATCACAATTGCAAAGAAATTTAAAATAATCAAACCTTATTGAACCAGTTTGGGTTTTTCTTTTTAGCCATGGCAAGTGTTGTACCAAAACCTGCTAGAATTCCTGCAGTAGCAACTGTAGTAAGAAAGATTCCACCTGCCAACAAAATGAAAACAAGAGTAAAACAACCAGACCTAGGTCACCTTTGCCTAGGTAAAGGAAAATAAATGAAATACTTAAAAAACCATTTGAACATAAGGACTATCAGTGCTTCCCAAAGGAAGGGAACAGCCATCAAGCTGCCTGGTAAACTACCAAAATAAGAGGGGTATTGCTGCCCAAGATCACAGTGGCATCTTAAATTTCTGAATAATTCTGGTAGTAGTATTAGGTGACTGTCCAAAGTTTGCCCATGGTACAAATTATAAGGACAGAGATATACAGTTGGGAAGAGCCTGGTCCTCTACATCTCACAGTTGTCAAGACAACCTGGCACATTCAAGTGCCTCTGGTGCAGATGCTCCACACCACCAGCTCCCTTCTCTGAGAGGAGGACATAATGCAGCATTTTACAGCATTAACTACTTCAAGCTGTCACTTGAACATGTGTTGGTATTTGAAGAGGATATGCCACATACAGCAGATGAGTCTCCAGCTCTGGCCTTCTTAAGTCTAAGAGATCCACTCTTCCAAATCCTATAGGGTCCATCACAATTGCTCTAATTTACAGAACCATATGTTTTGAGTACATCCAATTCCCCACAGTGGACCCAGGTAGTTTATGCTGATATCTCACTAGTTCATACAGTGGGTAGGACCATTCCAGGTCCAGCACAGTTAGCAGGGCAGACATCCCGCTTTGTACACTGAGTTGTGAGGGAATACATAACAAAAGCTTGCACACTATTTTTGGTTGGTCCTAACAAAGCTATTGTTCAACTGTGCAGTTTGCAGGCTTTTCTAGGGACACATCGCGTGCCACCTGTCTATGCAAGAAGCTGCCGTGTGTGTATGTCCATAGACCAAAATTCCTTCACGGAAATCACTTCCAGAAAGAAGAAAATGGGCAACTTTGGTGTAGATTAACATATTCAGCCCTTGCACATAAACACACTGTGTAATATGTATACTTGGGGTACAGGCACTAGACAATCCCATGTGTACCCTTAGCACACATATGCACAATTTTGATAAATTATACACAGACTCCTTGCTGTTACTTAACAAGGAAGTGTAATTGGTATAGTAATTATTTTAATTCAAGTATTTATATACCACTTTTCATCCTAAAAGTCGACAGTTCGCATCTCTTAAATTTTAGTCGCTCACTGTTACAACTGTGGCAACTTAAACGCTCTGGCCCCCCAAGTTTCATCCAGGAACGTGAACTTTTATACCTCCAAAATACCCCACGCAATTCGTGTTTGGGCAGCACAAGCCTGCCTACTACTATTCTCCTCACTGAACCAGACCCTCTCGGATTTTAATCTGGATGCGGTTCAGCGTGGGTTTTAATGTATAGGCTTACTTCCAGGAATATGGGGAAGTGAGCATGCACAAAGTGCCTTTACCTCACCACTAACTGAGCAACCACAACGGGTACCATGAAGCACAGACATACACCCGGGCTTCAAGCGCCGGAGAGAGAGCGCGCGCGTTCCGTGCTCCGGACCCCGCTCCCTCCGTCCCTCCCGCCTGTTCTGAAACCGAGCGCGCAGGGCGGGCGGCGGGACCGTGGACCTTTTATTAAGAAGAGGCGGCGCTGCGACTCCTCCGTCTGTGCCGCGGCGGGCTGAGGGCTGCCCCGCGGCTGAGGCGGCCCCGCCAGGCCCACGGTGCTCCCCTGGGCCGCATCCCGGCCGGCCTCCTCGAGGCCAGCCTGCCCCATCCTTCCACTCGAGCCCGGCTGAGGGACCCTCTCCCGCTTCGCCGCCACCCGGATGGAGATGCCGCTGGAGGCGGACTCGCTCCGTGTGCTGCCGGGATCAGTGGCGGAAGCCAAAGCAAGGCCGGCCCACCAGCCGGGCGGGTGTCTTCCTCGCCGGGCGTCTTTTCAGGGGCCGGGGCTTACTAGCTCGCTCAGCCCCGGAACCGTTTCCCAGTTTCCAGCTGCATGTTTGCTCGGGAATAAACGCCGTTGGATTCAGCGAGCTTTGCCTCCGAGCAAGCGCGCTGCGGGAGTTACTCCCGAGTAAGCGCGCATTGGCTCTGCCTCGGGGCTGAATACTGTACTGTATTCTCCTGCGCCTCCCTCTTGCACTATTGTTAATCGATAATAGTTCCCTTTTTTGCTGTGATAAAAGTTGAGGCGGGTTGTTTTGGGTTTTGTGATGCTTTCCTTCAGAAGCGCCACAGCCAAATCTTCCTAACGAGGAGGAGCTGGAAACTGTGATAGTGCAAGGAAAAGAATAGGCATATAGAAAGGAGAATTCCTGGAGGTCAAGATCCAGGTTTGGGGCAAGTATTTTTTGGTACTCGTTCCAAGGTATTATGTGAAAATCAGATGTTGCCTTCTGGGGTGGACATTGCTGCTGGCCACCGCTGTTAACAGCCAGGTAGGCCCACCAAAGACTATTAATGGCACTTGAGGACCCTTCAGACTTCGAGCTGGCCCCTGACTCTTCTGAACTGATTTTTTTTATTGTAACAGTGTGATTTTCACAAGAGCTGTTTAGCAAGATTTGTCAAATTTAAAACTCCTTTGTAGCTGTGTGGTTTTAATATTTGAAAGTACCGTATATTTCTTTATTAGAAGATTTATATTGCATCTTTTAGAACAAGGAAGCATAAATAAATTATATATAAAAGCAACAGTTTTAAAACGTAAGTCATAAAAAAAGAACAAAAGACCCATGGCAGGTAATAATAAAATGCTGATCAAAATAAACATGAGAGTATTTTTAAAATGACTAAAGTTGGGCCATGCATACTTTCTGGGGATTCATATTTTATAAGCATTGTGCCGCTATCTTTGGTACCTGCTAGCCAAACCTCTCCTATTGATGGGCCAGAGAGCAGAGCCTCCAAGGCCAATCACAAAACTTGGGCAAGCTAATAAAGGAGCAGGATGAATTTTGGGTAACAGGGTTCCAAACAACTTAGGGCTTTAAAGACCAAGATCAGAACCCAGCCAATGTAAATGGTACAGAATAGGTATCATACATTCCGATCATTTAGCTCCTACAAGCATTCTTGCTGAACAACTTTTAAAGGCAGCCCCACTTAGAGCGCATTATAGTAATCTAGTTAGTATATAAACAGAGTATGTGCCTTTAACTAGGGCAGAACAAATCAGCCTGCCTCTTTACAGGAAAAGCCTAAGCAAACATTTCCCCTAAGAGTTACATTCCCTTGGAGAAAAGTGCCTGGGGCTTTGCATACCAACAGTGGTTGGGTCTAACAAGCAACAGTAGATGGGGCCAAAACATACACATACATACATGCATATACGCATATGCATACACATACAGTACATACCTGATTTTCTGTCTCTAACTTTCATACGTACACACACTCACCCAGAATACATACCACATTCTCTCTCATACATACTCTTTAGATATGATAGTAATAATTAAGCAGTATATGAATTGTTTAAATAAATAAAATAGCTTCTGTGCTGTACCCTGACAAACTGTCCCTTTCTCCTGTCTAATTCCACTCCCTTCATGACTACAGCAAGCTAGCCACCAAAAAAAGTTTTCCCCCCCTCTGTTGACAATTATAGCAGGCTGCAGAGCTCCCTACCCCTGCTTGTCCAGCCTGATCTGCTTCAATACCGACTGGAATCAGACTGAAGCCTCTTCTTTTGCCAGTACAGAAGCTGAGTTCTTCTTCAATGGCAAGCTTGCTGTTATAGTCAGAGTGCTGAGACCAGATTCAGAGGCCAGGCCAGTGAGATATAACCTCAAGGTTTACTCACCATGCTCCTCGATAGCGACAAACCAACCTCTCGAGCTTCACATCTGCGTACCAAGTCTGGATAGGAAGTAAAGACAGACATATGTTATCCGTGGCTTTACTTCATTGTAGAAGGCTTTCCCCTGGAAATTTTCCTGAATCAACAACTTTCAGAAGAGTTGTAAGAGTTCTTTCCCTGTGTTGGCTTTTCACAGTTGGGGTTAAGCTTCCAAACTGTGATCAAAAGGAGCCCCACGTAAAGCATATTATTCAGTCTAGACTCAAAAGGAAGAATTTAGTACTTAAGTTTTATATACCTAATTTTAATTGGACATTTTATGTATACATCTCTAACTTATTGTTATTCAGCAGGAGCCTTTGGGGTATGGAGTAGCCTAGAAATTATTGAATTAAAATGTATAAGTAAATAAATTATGCAGTATTCCTTTCCATCAGCCTTATCTTTTCTTATGCAGAAGCCACCGTGTAAACTTGCCTTTTTTTCAGTGAGCCTATCTTTCGTTTCCCAGAACCTTTCCTGTTTCCCTGGCCTAAAGATTCTAGTAAACACTTCACTCTGGCATTGATCACTGATTTTATGGCATCATAAATAACACAATGCTTCACTCAATTAAATGATAAGGCCCCTGCACTAATGTGTTGATGACAGATGAGTTCATCCTGTAGCCTTTACATATACATGAAGACCTTAATCATCTTCTCTTGTGGCTGGTGATCATCATCATCATCATCATCATCATATACACAAGCACAGATAAATCAGGGGATACCCAACATCAGAGTAGACCCATTGAATGGAACACAGGAAGCTACCATACAGAGGCAAACCAGTTGGTGCAGTTCTTCCAAGGTTTCAGGCAGGAGTTTCTCCCAGTCCTACCTGAAAATGTCACAGATGGAACCTGGAACATTCTGCATGCAAGGCAGATCCTCTCCCACTGAGCTACAACGTTCCACACTTAATTTCATTGATTTTAATGGAATGGATCTACTCTTGAGTATGTCTGGTGGCTATTAATCACCCGTTTATAGTTAAGGGAGACATTATATATCAGTTTGCCTAAATGAAGACATTTGTGTGTTTATTACTTCTCTACCCCACACTTCCATGATGCCTCCAAGCATATCACAGACATACTACGGTCAAGCACTTCACAACGCATCAAACTGTTTAGCTACAATCACATGCCACACAGGGCTGCTTCTGACATAGTATGTTATTGTAAGTGCATCACCAATCGCTATCTTACAAAGCGCCTCTGATAAGTGACTGATCCTTCCCAAAGCAGAACTCTGATGGCATATATTGCATTGGAAGGCGAATAAATGAAAGAACCCTTGGTGCCATTATTACAGGTGGCGACCATTTTGTGCAGGGGTTCCGTTCTTGGCCCCCACGCATGCATAAGCCCTTTCTGCCCCTGTTCTGCCCTCTTCTGGGTGGTGGTCACGCATTAATTGGATACCTGTAATATGGTCGCCCCCTGTAGAACCCATCACCAGACCCATGCATTGCTTGTCTGCAAGGGTCCCCAGTCAGCTGAGAGGCATGGGGAATTCTTGGCATGACAGTGTAAGATCAGCAGGTCCCTGCGGGGGCCTCGGCCAGCTTAGCCCTCCAAGGTCTGGAGCAAGTGTACCCAACTGCACACACACACCCCATTCAGCATGGGCCTGCTTGTAACTCTGTTACCAGAGTAGACATGGGCAAATAACCGGCAACATAGTGTGACACAGGGGACTATATCCTGTGTTCATATCTCTGTTGTATGGTCACTTTTTGCTGATAAGTAGGTGGTTTGAGGGGGGCTGGCTGTAAGCAAGTACAGGCCTACCACCTAAGACCTGTGAGAGAGAAGTGTAATTCTACAGCATAGGCTGTGTGTAGATCACTGATGATGAATTTGGCTTCAGCTGGAAACTTGGAAGTGATGACAAGTGGTGTGCTATGGTTTTCTCTACTAGGTCTGCCCTGTAGTACATTGTTCTTGAGTACTACTATACTTTGACCTTGTTGACCTGTTTTTTCACTGTGTTGGGTGGGTATTGTAGTTTAAGGAGTGCCTAATAAAAATTATTAAGTTGTTAGTCTCTGTCCAAAGAGTATGAGCAGATGTGTTTGTAATGTAGGAATTGACTATAGACAATGGATTTTCTAGTGTTCAAGTATGTGTAGCAGTCAGTTGATTTTCTATTTAAAGTGGGTTTAATTCTATAGCCATTATGTAGTACAGTCATGTCCAGGAAAAGAAGCCTCTTCTGTGGACTGGTCTAGCCTCAGGTTAGTGATGGGTTGCTGAAATTCAGAGAGCTTGAATTAGCAGAGTGCTCTGAGGATCAGAGCTAAAACATCAAATTTCAATCTAATTGTCATCATAAAACATGCCTTGATAACTTGCTGACATTCTTTATAGAACCTGCCAAAGAAAGCTGTAGCTCCTACACAGATCATTACCAGCAGAGCTGTATCGAAATCAGCCAAGGACTGCCAGCTCAAATGCATTTAGGACTGTAGCCATTAGCTATTACATCATATTCTGGAGAAGTGATTTTTCCAGAATGGTAGTGAGGTACATTGGCTGCACCGTGCCACAAAAGCCTGACAGCTGTTGCTGCCCTTGCTAAACTACTTGTATGGAGAGAGGCTTTTCAATCACTATGGTTGTTAATCCACTTTTTAAATTAAATGACCTTGATCCTGCAAATTATTCATGTGGGTGGTTAGCCTTATTGTCAGTCAGTGTCCTGGTCCCTGTGCTGCTATTGGACATTTCGCACAGTTGGTTTGGCTGCTATTCTCCTTATAAACATCCTCAGATGTATGTGGGACCACAGTGAAGTAGAAACATGTGTCAGCTGGCCGTACATGGATTTTTTTTGGCAATGTATTCCACAACTGCAGGATAAATTCCCAGAGACCTATCATGCAGGAGTTGGGGGGCCTGCCAAGGAACAGTCTTGTCTTAGTCCCAAAGCCAAATATGAACCGCACATTTTGTTCACAATCCGTGGATTGGCGCCTCTATGTTGTTGCCACATAGGTTGCTTTCAGAGGGACTTACTGCATAGAATTTATATAAAAATCTCAAGATCTGAGCCAAAAGAATTCAGATCCTCTGCATGTGCTTTATTTTCTGATGTTTAAAGCAAATATAAAATTAGTTCCTTCAGCAACTTTAGAGAATACAGAATCCCATCTTTTCCCCCCTAGTAATTCTTGGATTGTAATTATTGTTGTTGAGAAAGCATCAAGTTTGTTTGGCGATATATTACTTTGTTTATGTAGATGGCATTGTGTCTAATGAAACGACCCTTGCTACATGAGTTAATGGTGTGATCTGAATAATGTTATTCTGATTTTCTTGACATAAGATCTCTAGCAGCATTTGGTTTCACGTGAGAATTTTAATTCACAAGGTGCAAGCTAAATCAGATGTTTATATAACACACAGTCTGTTTAATGAGTTTAATAGCCAGCAGTGAGTTTAATAGCCAGCAAGTCTTCTGCACTATTGGAATGGCTTGAATTCCCAAGATATATGCAAAATTAATGTCCGTGTAAGGCTCCTTGGCAGGGACTCTCAATAAAAGCAAGGGGCTAAGATAAATGTGAAGCAGATTGTGAATCCTCTTTCTAAGGAGGGGTTGCATATAATTTTCTTATTATTTCTGATGCAATTCCTTAAGCCTTGTGCTCTGCAAGATGATCTATAACCTCCAATGTATTCACTTGCATGCCTGTCCTTTAGCAAACAGGCACCAGCCTCAACTTGCTGATAAGTCTTTGCTGTATTAGAACTTGGTGGATCCACCCATATCTATTTATTCCTGTTTCATGCTGACCTGAATTGTGGAAATTTATTATCGTGATACGGGCAGGACTACTTTGTTGGTTTTGAGTACATGATGTTGTTCCACTGCAAACTGCCCAAGTGTGAAGAGAGACAGATCAACAAACCTATTACAGGCTAAGTAAATGGCTATTTATGAGTCATGTGGGAGCGGCTGCTGGGACCACATAACTCCAGTCCTGAAAGATCTACATTGGCTCCCGGTACATTTCCGAGAACAATTCAAAGCCCTAAATGGACTCGGCACTGTATACCTAAAGGAGGGTATCCACCCGCATCATTCAGCCCAGGCACTGAAGTCCAGCTTCAAGGATCTTCTGGCTGGTTCCCACAATGCGAGAAGTGAAGCTACAGCGAACCAGGCAGAAGTTGCATTTGCCTTGTGGAGTGCCCTCCCATCAGATGTCAAAGAATTAAATAATTATATGACTTTTTGTAGACATGTAAACTGGAATATAGCTGGCTCTTTTTCTTCTTTCAGGCCATCAATGTACCACACATTATTACAATTGGTATGCATGGCCAGGTGGGCTAGTGGAACTTTGTGTAAGCTTGCTAGTGAATTTACAAGGCTTCCCTTTGGCTAGTATAAAAATACAATGAGCAGAATGTAAGAGAACCTCTGCCTTCTGCACATCCAAGCACTTAGGGTACATCTGGATCTTATTCACCATTGTGCAGAGGTGGAGAATCCGGAATAAGATTCCCCCAATATGATGCTTGGATCCACCTCCTTTGGATCCATCTGTCACTGTGGTCCAGCAGCTGCAATGGCAGCATGAAATTGGACTGCCCCAGAAATTAAAGTAACTGAAACTGTATTAATTTACTGGGTGATGCTAAGCCATTACAGCCGGTAACCTCTTCTGCTTTTAACTGTATGCTAAAGAGTTGCTTTAAAGGCCGGTATGGTAAACAGGTCAAACAGACAATTTGCACTCATCTTGATTGTGCAGAAAGGGTCTTCTTGATAAAGGATGTATTAAATAGTTGCCGGGATAAACTCATGGCTTGTTTTTGCTTACACAACAGATTTTTTATTATATAAACATTTTTTTTAATGGTTTAAAGTATAGGGCGAGTCCTTTAAAAGAGGCCCTGTGGATACACATACACATACACATGTTCCATGGGGCTTTTTTTAAGACTCACCCTGTACTGTACAAGTAGCTGTCATTTCATGAAACTGGTTAGCAAA